TGTTTAAATCGTTTTTGATCAGTTTGTTAGCTGTCGCTATTTCCCGGAGTTTCTTTTGAAGGGAATTCTTCCGTTTCGTCGTTTTGGATAGTCTCTGCAGTGGTGGGGAACTGCAGGACACTTCCCCTGTGCTGTCTTGAATAACTTGCATTGGTGGGTGGGGCTGCAGTCAGACCTGATGTCTGCTCCCAGCCCACCACTGGGGCCACAGTCAGACTGGTGTGTACCTTCTCTTCCCCTCACCAAGGGGGGATTCACCATGGGGTGGGGTGGCCCGTCTGGGCTACTTGCACACTGCCAGGCTTGTGGTGCTGGGGATCTGGCGTATTAGCTGGGGTGGATCAGCAAGGTGCACAGGAGTGGCAGGGGTAGGCTCAGCTCGCTTTACCTTCGGTGATCTGCTTCGGGAGGGGCCCTGCAGCACCGGGAGGGAGTCAGACCCTCTGCCGGAGGGGATGGATCCACAGAAGTACAGTGTTGTTTGCGCAGTGAAGGCAAGTTCCCTGTCAGGAAATGATTCCTTTTGGGATTTTGGCTGGGGGATGGGCGAGGAATATGGTGCTGGTGAGCGCCTTTGTTTCCATCCCGCCCCTCCGCTTTTGCAAGCCAGACTCAGGAGCTCTGTTTTGCCGGCGGGCCGCCACTCTGCCCGGCTCCTCCCGCCAGTCCGTGTAGTGCGCACCGCCTCTCCATCCTTCCTACCCTCTTCCATGAGCCTCTCATCTACGCTTGGCTCAGGAGAATCTATTCTGCTAGTCTTCTGGTGGTTTTCTGGGTTATTTAGGCAGGTTTGGGTGGTATCTAAGTGATCAGCAGGACACAGTGAGCCCAGTGTCCTCCTACGATGCCATCTTCCGGAGCATCTCCTGCCCCTAATCTCTTTTTGATGATTTTAAACATATTAGTTTAGTCTTTCTCTGGTTGCTTTATTATGTCAAATTTCTTGGGAATGACTTCTTTCTTTGTTAGTGGATTTATTTATTTTTTAGAATAATTTCTTTGTGTGCTTTGAAGTTATTTTTTTCCTTTTTTTGATTTAACTTTATTTTTTATTTTTCTAAATTTATATCCAAATTAGTATACGGTGAAGCAATGATTTCAGTAGATTCCTTAATGCACCTTACCCATTTAGCCCACCCCCTTCCCACAACCCCTCCAGCAACTCTCAGTTTGTTCTCCATATTTATGAGTCCCTCTAATTGTTTTGTCCCCCTTCTTGTTTTTATATTATTTTTGTTTCCCTTCCTTTATGTGCATCTGTTTTTTCTCTTAAAGTCCTCAAATGAGTGAAGTCATATGATTTTTGTCTTTCTCTAATTTCATTTAGCATAATTCCATCCACGTGGATGCAAATGGCAAGATTCCATTCTTTTTGATTGCTGAGTAATACTCCATTGTATATATATACCACATCTTCTTTATCCATCCATTAATGGGCATTGGCTCTTTCCGTACTTTGTCTATTGTTGATAGTGCTATCAACATGGGGGTGCATGTGTCCCTTCGAAACAGCACACCTGTATCCCTTGGATAAACAGCACACCTGTATCCTTTGGATAAATACCTAATAGTGCAATTGCTGCATCATAGAGTAGTTCTATTTTTATTTTTGGGGGGAACCTCTATACTGTTTTCCAGAGTGGCTGCACCAGCTTGCATTCCCCCCAATAACACAAAAGAGATCCTTTTTCTCCTTGCCAACATCTGTTGCCTGAGTTGTTAATGTTAGCCATTCTGACAGGTGTAAGGTGGTATCTCATTGTGGTTTTGATTTGTATTTCCCTGATGATGAGTGATGTGGAGCATTTTTTCATGTGTCGGTTGGCCATCTGGATGTCTTCTTTGGAGAAGTGTCTATTCATGTCTTTTGCCCATTTCTTCACTGGATTATTTGTTTTTTGGGTGTTGAGTTTGATAAGTTCTTTGCATATTTTGGATACTAACCCTTTATCTGATATGTCATTTGCAAATATTGAAGTTATTATTATTAGTGATGGTGATGGAAGCTCTGGTATTGATGGAGGCAGCTCTGGTG